GATGCCACGCACCCCCGCCCTCAGGTCTCCTTTCTTCACTTGGAAGAAGTAGAACTTGTAAAACAAAACCCAGTGATCATAACTGGACAGCTTAGGCCAGCTGACCAGGGAAGAAAAACCCTGCCATGTGATATATGCAGTGTAAGGACTGCCTCACTGGAGGATCCAGGTGCTCTGCCCAGTTCAGTGTCCATTCCCCAGCCATGGCCAGTATTGGGCACCTCACAGGTGGGTGCACCAAGCCCTCTGGAAGATGCTGATGCAAATGTCTAGTGTTGCGACCTGAAAAGAGGATGTACCCATATGAAACAGAGTTCAAAGGTTAAGAGCACGTCTGTAGGAGTGACACAATGGGCACCTAGCAACCAGGCAGTCATAAATGTCATTTTAAGGTTTACCTCATACTGCAAGTGGCCTATGGCAACCAGGTAAGCGCTCTTCAGGAGCAACTTAATCAGACAGGCAGGTGGAAGAACAGCTACTCGCTAGCCTAAAGACACCTGAGTGGCTCTGTTGTGCCATGTCAAAGGGCCGTCTTGCCCCATATTGACACTGCTTTGTAACAGAGGCTTAGAGGAGTGTGAGAACAAGGTGAGTAACATCACCAGGCATGGTCTCCTGTCTTCTAGCAAACTGTGACTTGGTTATTTCCTGGGGTCAGAAGTGGTTTGAGGGGTTTAACAATCCCAATTAATTTTCTACGAATTTGTTCTTTTTTTTTTTTTCTTAAATCATACACCACCACCACCACCACCCCTTTCTTTTGTTTGTTCTGAACATGCTGTATTTCATTTGCCTCCTACTTTCTGATTTCTAGGAACAATGAACAACCATTCTCTGCTCTTCTCTTTCCATGCATTAGCTTTTCCACTCTTCCTGCTTTTGTATACCTCTATCATCTCTTTCTCCCCAGCGGTCTCTTTTCCAGCCACAAAATTCCCAAGTCTATGTAGTTATTTGCTACTTTATCCATGTAGTAACTTGCATGGGAGCAGCTGCATACCTTTGTCCATCTTTGTCGCCCTTCCTTTACTGCAACAAGTTCTGCTGTGTCATTTGGGGTGGGGATAGGACCAGAATGTACTCTTCAAGATGTGGACGCATCATAGATTCATACGGTGACATAATGGTGCTTTTGGTTATGTCACGTATTCCCTTTCTTTCCATGCTCGGCACAGTCAGCTCCCAAAGTGGCTGCTTGTTCATCCTTCCTTCCCAGTAGTTTTATGCCTGGATGGGAGGTCCAGAGGTGTCTGGGAGTGATACTGGATGAAGAGGAAGCCAGGACTTCTTCCGTCTAAGCCCAGACCCACAACTGAGTCAGAGACTGGTCTCAAACAAACGATTTCACCTCTCTGTGCCTCAGCTCTGTCCCCAGGAAAGGGGGGAGTTTCCGAACCTAATGCAGAAGAAACAGCGTGACGCAAGGTGAGCGCGTCTGAGATCGCTGGATGAATGCTGCCAGGAAAGGGAAG